TCATAGCTATGAAATAGTGACAATCATGTAGCATTATTTGTTGGTTCATTCATTTGTTCAATTAATAATAATACTGGTTAATATATTTTGCATTTTTCCCCTGACATACTTAGGAAATTCTTCCTCAGAATTCTTAGTTCAACATGATGTTACTAGGTAATGTATTTAACAAAAAACAGTTTAGTCTTCATTAAGTTTGAGAAATGTTGGTTGAGAAACAACAAAATGCTTTATTGCCCTGGAGAAGGAAATGGCAACCCACTCCAGTATTCTTGCCTGGAAAACCCCATGGATGGAGAAGCCTGTGGGCTACAGTCCATGGAGTCACAAAGAGTTGGACACAACTGAGTGACTTTCACTTTATTCACAGAAATGCTGAAAATTCTTATTTCTTTTCCATAGACATTATTGAATACTTACATGTGTTTTATACAGTTGATATTTCACATTGTTTTCAAGGGGCCCACATTATTTCATATATTTGGTCAAGTTCTTTTCAAAGTTGAAAGCAGTATATTTTTCCATTCCAATTGATCACTAAAGATGCTTAAATGAGAAAAATAGGATCTTTCTCTGCATTAGAACATTTGGAATCAGCCCCATAGACAATGAATAAAGTTTCTGAAAACTGGCAACCTTTGAACTTTTAGAGCCAAGAATCCAGAATATAAACTTACCTGTATCAGTCTCAATAAGACAGAAAGAATAAGCCTTGTTTTGTGATGGCTAAATAATGCATACGTATATATAGTGAAGAGGTCAAAGGCTGACACTCCCGAATGTAACTCATAAGAGGCTTAGGAATGTATACATACTGTATATTAAATCATTCAAGTGATGAATATTTTTAAACTTAGTTCATAAATTTCAGATCTAAGACCTCATTTTAATGTGCTTCCATGTATTGTTCTTTGCAGATACTAATGGCGGTGTTTTTTTTTTTTTTTTTTTAACTATTTGAAGGTTTCTGGCAACCCTGTGTTAAGCCTTTTGTTGAGGATTCTTGTGTCTTTTGTCTATGTTCATCAGTGATGTTGGCCTGCAATTTTCTCTTTTTTTGTGATATCTTTGTCTGGTTTTGGTATTAGGGTGATGGTGGCCTTGTAAAATGAACTTGGACACATGTAAATGCTTGGCTGATTCATGTCAATGTATGGCAAAAACCACTACAACATTGTAAAGTAACTAGCCTCCAAAAAAAAAAAAAAAAAAAAAGTACTCCTTCCTCTGCAATTCATTGAAGGCATTTCAGAAGGATAGGTGTTAACTCTTCTCAAATGTTTGATAGAATTTGCCTGTGAAAGCAATTGTTCCTGGACTTTTGTCTGTTGGAAGTTTTTCAATCACAGTTTCAATTTCAGTACTTGTGATTATCTGTTGATATTTTCTATTTCTCCCTGGTTCCATCTTAGAAGGTTGTTTACCTTGCTTAGAATTTGTACATTTCTTCCAGGTTGTCCATTTTATTGGTGTATGATTGCTTGTAATAGTCTCTTATGATCCTTTATATTTCTGTGGTGTCAGTTGTGATTTCTTTTTCATTTCTAAATTTATTGAATCTTCCTTTTTTTCTTGATGGGTCTGGATAAAAGCTTATCAGTTTTTTATATCTTCTAAAAAGAACCAGCTTTTATTTTCATTGATCTCTGCTGTTGTTTTCTTTGTCTCTAGTTCATTTATTTCTGCTCTGATCTTTATGATTCAGGTAAGTCTTTGGCACTATTTTTCCAACACCATTGGCTCATTTTGTGTCTCTGTGTCATATTTTGATAATTCTCATAATATATCAAAATTTTTCATTATTATTATGTTTGTTATGGTGATCTGTGATTCGTGCTCTTGGATGTTACTATTATAATTGTTTTGGGGGTACCACAAACCATGTCCATATAAGATGATGACCTTAACTGATAAATGTTCCCTGTGTTCTGACTGCTCCACCAATTGACCATTCCCTGTCTCTCTTTCCTTAGGCGTCCCTATTCCCCGAGGCACAAAGATACTGAAATTAGTCCAATTAACAACTCTACAATTGCCTCTAAGTATTCAAGTGAAAGGAAGAATTGCACATCTCTTCCTAGCATCTGAAACTAGAAATGATTAAACTAAGAAGAGGAAGGCATGTGAAAGCTAGGGCTCTTGTGCCACACAGTCAAGTTGTAAATACAAAGAAAGTGTTCTTGAAGGAAACTGAAACACAACATCCATTCTGCAGCCCATGAATCAAGGAGTAATTTAAACTTTCAAGTCTTACTAAGAAATACATTTTGTAAAGCTGTAGCTGCCCTAGGTTGTAATTCCTCTAACATCTCTGGACAAAGTGAATTGAAAACCTTCTGGAAAAATTCACCATTCTAGATACCATTAGGAACATTTGTGCTTCATGAAAAGAGCTCAAAATACCAACATTAATAGCTGTTTGGAAGAAGTTGATTTTGACCCACATGGATGACTTTGAGGGGTGAAAGACTTCTGGGGAGGAAGTAACTGAAGATGCCATGGAAATAGCAAGAAAACTAGAATTAGAAGTGGAACTTGAAGATGTGACTGAATTGCTGCACTTTCATGAAAGAACGTCAATGAATGAGTTGTTTCTTGTGGATAATAAAGTGATTTCTTGAGATAAAATCTACTCCTGGCAAAGATTTGCTGTGAGGATTATTGAAAAGACAGCAAAAGATTTAGAACACTATACAAATTTGGTTGATAAAGCAGTGACAGGATTTGAGAGAACTGAAGTTCTACTATGAAGAAAATGGTATCAAATAGCATTTCCTTCTCCAGAGAAATCATTCATGAATGGAAGCATAAATTGATGGTTTGATGTGGCTGACTTCATTGTCTTATTTTAAGAAATGATCACAGTCACTCCAGCCTTCAGATAACTACCACCCTGACCAGTAAGCAGTCATCAATATCGAGGCAAGAACCTCCCTCCACCAGCCAAAAAGATTACAGGTTCAGATGAGGTTAGTATTTTTTAGAAATAAAGTATTTTTAAATTAAGGTACTCTTTTTTTCAGACATAGTGCCATTGTTTAGTTAATAGACTAATAGTGTAGTGTAAACATAACTTTTATATATACTGGGAAACCAAAAAATTCCTGTGATGAGCTTTGTTGCAACATTTGCTTTATTGTGATGGTCTGGAACCAAACCTGAAGTATTTCCAAGGAATAACCTATATTAGGCTTTTATTCAGTTACTTTTCAAAATATTTAGAGAGGGGAAAGAAAAATCACAAAGGACATTAATGAAACCTGTTGTTGTTTGAAAACTCAATTTCAATTTTTCAGAGTATGTCTTTGAAAGTTAAAGAGATGACTTTTATAAAAATATAGGCACGTACCAGAGATCTATTAACTTATTAATGAGGCTATCTATAAGATGATGGAGAAGGAAATGGCAACCCATTCCAATATTCTTGCCTGGAGAATCCCCATGGACTGAGGAGCCTGGCTGCAGTCCATGGGATTGCAAAGAGTCAGACACGACTGAGCGACTAAACACACACACATAAGATGATGATGCTCTTCGTTCCAAGAGTATTTTGAGGATCTGAATATTTACAGGCATTTAGAAAGAATGTTATTAATATTATAAGACTGTTAGGTTAGATACAAAATTTGTTCAAGTTGCATAATACAATAAAACCATAAATACTGAGGTTTTCTTCTGGACAGATTGGACAAAATGTGCAACGCTAGCACATAGCTCTGTAGTGTCCGAAATCTAACCAAGAGTGACTAGCAAGTCAAAGACAGTCCATTTTTGTATAGAATTAAGCAGTCCTTGGACCTGTGAAGCACTGTCTTGGTGTGACACTGAAAGATCTTGCTCTTTCGCTTTATTACCAAGTTTTGAGTAATTTTTCTAATAATCTGAAAATTAAATTTTTATTTTTTTGGTGGTTGTTTAACTCAGCATCTTATATAATTTAGACTAAAACCACCATCTCAGTGGCTTCTGAGAGGGAAGAGATTAAAAGAAGGGAATGAGGGTCTTCTCAATTCAAAATGCATCTTTCCCAGGTAACTGTTCACTCCATATCAAGGTCAACCAGGCAGGAGAAATTAACCATGAAAAGAGAAGAGGACAGACACCTCCTGGGGAAGGAGGCAAGTGGGAGACTGAGAGCCTCCCCTCCCCCAGCAGGGCTGCCTTTATTTAACGCGGGCAGCACAGGTGGATTCCATCTCTCATCTTTTGTCAAGCTGGTTGGCAGCGGAGCTTGGGCCAGCGGCTCTGGCCAGAGCAAGCCCTACCCCGCTCACGTTCCCCCCAGTCACCAGCTAATGCCTGGAATAAATTCTCCCCTCTCCCTGAGTTGGTTCACTCAGAGCGTTGAGGTCCTGGGCTGGGCGCTTGCTCCTGGGGACTGAAATAACAGAGCAGACTGACTGGTGTAATGCTAGGAGCCCTCTTTCAGGGCTCTTCTTTTTCTTCCTGGGCAGTAAACATAGACACCGAAAACAGCAGTTATGGTCCCCTCCCCCTTCTGGTTCCCTTCCAGCTTTTTCTGAACGATCTGTGCATCTCTGCGAGCCTCCATCCCTAGAGGGGGTAGCTCTTGTAAAACTGGTAGGAGACGTCAGGAAGAAAGCAAGTCCCCCGGGGATTTCAGCGCCTAGGTAGAAACAGTCGGGCTTTCCGGGGGTGGCCGGCACGGGGAGGCCTGGATTAAAGGCGGCGCTGGGCTGGCGAGATTGAGGTCCCGGAGCACCGCTCCAGGTGCTCCTCGCGAGGGTCCCGGGGGCGGCTGGCTGCCGCGCCCCGCCCAGCTCTGTCCCCGCAGCACCTCGGGCTGCCGGGCTTTGTGGTTCGCTCGTGCAGCTGGGCCCCTGCTGGGGGTGTCGTTACGAGCATGTGCAGACAGCAGCCCAAGGTAGAGCGAGCGTGCCCGGTGAGCCCTGAGACTTGCCTTGCAATGCCATGTTTGTGTGTGTGCTCTAACTCCCAGAGAGCAACCAGGGAGACGGCTCCCCGGCCGGACTTGGCTGATGTTTTCTTGTTTCTGTTTCAGCCTTCAGGATAATTCCTTCAGCAGCACCGCTGTAACAGAGTAAGTGATTCTTGTCAATACAATAAGATTTGCATGCCTTTCTCAGGAAGCAACTAACGTGAAGGTGTCCTCCCCCGTCCCCAGCTGCTCTGGGTACTAGATGCATTGTCTCCAGTAATCTGGGGCTGTGAAGACCGGGAGACACGGGGACTGATGGGGCCCAGAAATCTTTACAGGTTGAAATCAGCCTTTTAGCAACTATGGGAGGGCTATTAAAGCAAACTGATGGCTTACGGGAGCACAGTGCTCCCAGATTTGTGTTCTTGGAGTTCAGATTTTTGAAAAATAAATCTCTTTGACATGTCAGCAAGGAAGCTTTGTTGTGTTTTGCCAACACTGGTGTCTGTTTTCATGAGCACGCTGTGTACGTTTACAGCAATTAGAAGATGGATGTGAAATGACTGGAGCTGAATTCCAGCATGTGATAAATAGGCTAAACAGCCTCATCTGCTCCTTTGTACAGACTTTTAAGACAGTAAACTTTTCTTGAATGCCCTTTGTCAATTTTGTCTTCTGCCGTCAGAGATCTGGCTATCTTAGGACTGTGTTATCTAGTTCTATGGTTAAAGCTTTTGATTGGGACAACTAATACCATTCAAACACAGAATGAAGGAGTGTAAATATTTTACTCAAGACCAGCATGCATGGTATTTTTTATTAGATATTTAGAGTTTATGCTTTTAATTCTTGTCATCCTTTCCTTGATTTTTTTAATACTGTATTATATGTATATGTTAAAAATTAATGGGTAGTGTATTATGCTAATACTATATGTAACTGATATGTAATTTACATATATATACATATATATACGTATGAAATATCTATGCTTTATTTAGCAGTCTTTCTTTAGGCTAACTCACAGTGTTTACTTCTGGGACCTTATGATAGAAGTTACTCTAAATAGTTTTTCAGGAAAAAGAGGTGTATATGGTTATATACTCAACTACATTAAAAAATGCTGCAAGTTTGATACAGAAGTCCCAGTAACTTGGGAACTATTTGCTGAAGTTCCCTAAAAGGCAAATAAATGATGTGAGGTTCAAGTCACTGGATTAGTGACTTGGTAATGGAGGACTATAGGGCTTCCCAAGCCCTCTTGATTTTTACATTATTTTGTTTCTCTGGATGTTACTCTCTTAGTGTTGAGCTTTGAGCTATCTTAGGTGGAGTTACTTTAAAAAAAAAAAAAAGATCCAGGGTTGATTTTAGAAGATCCAGTATAAAATACTCATTGAAACCTTCATCATGTTAATGAACTTGCTTGGTAACAGTGCTATAACTTTGCTTCTCTAAAAGCCTTAGAGTGGGGAGAGGTGCAGGCCAGAGATGAGGCTGTGACTTGCTGGTTTGGGTACACGGGTATTGCTTTCTTCCTTTTGCTATGCATATCGCACTAAAGGCTTCCTGGGCCTGACTCTCAGGACCTGGTGTGGCTGAATCCCCAAAGTCAGCCATAGGCATAGAAGCTTCAAAATGGAGTTCCTTACTTTTAAATTTCACATGGACAGTGTTTTAAAAATGGTTTTAGTTAAATGCTGGGGAAAGTCTGGTACCTTGTCTTTGGCCAGTCCCCAAGGAGTTCTGATTGCATAAGATCTTGTTGTTGTTTTGAGAGAAGTGACAGTGATTTATTTTAAAAGGCACTGAGTGACAATCGGGATGCCATCTGGCTAATCTAAAAATCTGAGGGGCATATTTGAAGCATACCAAGTATTCATAGGTATAACAGGACAGTCTAGGTCCATTTATAACTAGTCATTGTCTAATATAGTATTTTCTCCTCCCCTCAGTTTTCCTTGGTTCTTTAGGCATGACCCCAAAGCTAGCAGGATCAGAATGTGCTATACTGAGACAGAGAAGTAGTAGGTGATTCATAAATGTTCAGGTCTGGTCTTGGTGTACAGCACTTGCCTCTATTTTATGTTTTGGATAAAAGAAAACATCGCCTTCTCCTATCTCCACCCTACTCCTACTTCCTCCTACCCACTCACACATACTTATCTTTTCTACTGCCTGAAATTCTACCTAGAGATTTGGGTTTTTTTTTTTTTGGATGAAGAACTCTGGTGGTGACCCTTATTAAAATGGAAATTTAAAAAGTCTGTGTCCCTGGGAGGTGGATTCAAATTGTCATTAATATTTTAATATAAATTATGTTATCAGCTAGTCTAACCTAAGAGGGTTCTGCTTGGCCAACTGGAGGTCTTTTAAGAGTCAAAGGGAGTGGGAATTGGGAGGGACTCAAGGACACATTTTTTTCTCTTCCTAATTTTTCCCATGCCTTGTCTGTCCCTCTCTGTGCAAATGTGGCCCAGTTCAGTTTCTTTTTTCTACCCAGATTCTTCCAAGATCAGAATGGCCTTGGCCTTGTGTTCTCTATCTGTGTACCCTCTCATCTGTTGCTTTTCCGTGGTCATTTCCTATGTTGCCCTGGCTAACTTGTTATTTGAAATGGAAGCATATCCAGCAGTGAATTCTGTGGCAAATTAGTTATCATCCAAAGCAGTAACTCAAAACCAAAGGGCTGTCAGTATCATTTGGGGAAGGGGTTAGGGGCTTATGAAAAATCTAGTTCCCAGGCTTTATTCTCAAGTGGAAACCTAGAGATGGGTGATCATGTTGGGGTCAGCCAAATGCTGGTCTGGGTTTTGTAAACCTTTAGGTCAGCATTGAACATTTTGGAAGCATGCTAGTTATGTGGGGGAAAAGTAATCTAGTTTGAAAACTCACATTCCTTGGCCCTATCCTCAGAGAGTCGATTTAGTGGGGCCAGCAGTGAGGATGAAGCTGGAACTTAACTGTATTTTTCCATTTTAAAAAATTAATTTATTTTAAAAATTGAAGTATAGTTGATTTACACTGTTGTGTTAATTTCTTCTGTACAGCGAAGTGACTCAGTTATACAAGTATATACATTCTTTTTTATATTCTTTTCTATTATGTTGATTCCAGGAAACTGAATATAGCTCAGCTTGCCATCTTACTCAGACACTCCAAGTGGTGCCAACACAAATGGTTCTGGGGGCACACTTTAAGAAATCCCACAGGATTGCAGCCTGTATCTCTGCAATTGTGCCTTCAAGGAACATGGTACTGCAGGGAATGGCAGTCCCCTTTTGAGTACAGCTACATTTTATCTCATTACCAATCTGAGACCTCTGTACTTATTTACCCCAAGTCAAAAAAGAGACTTATGGGTATTTCTTTCTCCACCATTCTTCTAAAAAAACAAGTCTTTCTCTCTCTCTTGAGCCTAGACTGAAGAGACTATTTGGTGGGCTTAGTGTGGAGCAGAAGCACCGCAGGCATCACTGCTTTATGCTTTGGAATCCTGGGAAATCCCTTAGCCACTGGGTGAAGGTAATGCTTACCTCACACCACTGTCAGGCTTATTTGAGATCATATGAAAGAGAAGATGAACTGAAAAGTACCTTTTAATGTTTTTTTGTTTGTGGTTGATTCAGTTCAGTTCAGTTCAGTTCAGTCGCTCAGTCGTGTCTGATTCTTTGCGACCCCATGAATCGCAGCACGCCAGGCCTCCCTGTCCATCACAAACTCCCGGGGTTTACTCAAACACATGTCCATTGAGTCGGTAATGCCATCCAGCCATCTCATCCTCTGTTGTCCCCTTCTCCTCCTGCCCTCAATCCCTCCCAGCATCAGGGTCTTTTCCAATGACTCAACTCTTTGCATGAGGTGGCCAAAGTATTGGAGTTTCAGCTTTAGCATCAGTCCTTCCAATGAACACCCAGGACTGATCTCCTTCAGGATGGACTGGTTGGATCTCCTTGCAGTCCAAGGGACCCTCAAGAGTCTTCCCAACACCACAGTTCAAAAGCATCAATTCTTCGGTGCTCAGCTTTCTTCACAGTCCAACTCTCACATCCATACATGACTACAGGAAAAACCATAGCCTTGACCAGACGGACCTTTGTTGGCAAAGTAATGTCTCTGCTTTTTAATATGCTATCTAAGTTGGTCATAACTTTCCTTCCAAGGAGTAAGCGTCTTTTAATTTCATGTCTGCAGTCACCATCTGCAGTGGTAGTAGAGAAAGCAAAAGTCCAAGTAGAGAGAAAACTACCTACCTTGAGCACTTCACAGGATAATGATGACAAGGACAAATTATTCATGTATTATCTGGGCAACCACAAATTAAAAACTCTTGGACTTAGAATCTGGTTGATGAGAACCTCAAAGGAAATCATTTGATAGAGGTGTCTTTACATTCTTTACTGTGAACAGCACTAAGAAAACCATTTTATATTGCAGTCCAGCACACACATACATACATGATTTATTTAAACAAGTTTCATGAAATAACACTTAGCCCTCACTATATTGACACTTTTTTTCTATTCTGTTTCTCTACCAATAATAAAAACAAAATGCTGGTAGCTGCTGTCTAATTTCAGGACAGTATAATTATTAACCCTGTATAATAGGTTGCAATTTATAGTTTGAAAAACATTGTGCTAGAAGATGGTCAGTTTTGAAATTTACGAAGATCATTAAAGAGATTGGTCTTTAAATTTCTTTATCAGAATAACATAGGAAGAGAACCTCATGCCTAGGACCAGATGGGTACTTGATCTGAGTTGATTTTTTTTCCCCCAGAGTTGGGATATCTGGATATGGGTTCCCACTGTGAAATCTAGTTTTATAATCGAGCCAGTATTGTGCATTTTCGGGGGGCTCTGGGGCAAGCACTCAGTAGAACAATCAGAAGATGTTAATTGAATAGAACTTGATGATCTTCACAGAAGCAAAGGAAAACCCAATTGAACTTAAAGAGCTTGTATATGTGCGCCCTGGAAGCCATAGAAAGATCTATCTCATTGCCATATCTACAACCTAGAAATTGTGTTTTCTTGGGTGATGGCTGGAGTTGTTCCATAGCCCTTAAAATCTGATCAGCTAATTAGGTCTGGCCTCCTACTTCAGAAAGCATCTGCAACTTTGTATGTTCTAGTGTTGAGTTTCCATTTTTAACTAATTGTGCTTTGAGAAGAAAGATTAATAAATCAAATGAGGGGGATGAAAAAAAAGTTCTTGCCGAATTTTTAAATAATAGGTATTGTTGAGCTCAAAGGTTGAACCTCTGTTTGAACCCTAGTTCTTTGGAAGCAACAATTCTAGATTTTTCTTCTTCATTAATCTTTCTACTTAGCTAGGTTGCTTTTATTGGGAAACATTTTAATTCACATTACAAAGTTCAAATGATCTATTAAAGCAGATGCCTCAAATAGTGGAGAACAAGATAGCATTTAGGAATTATTGTTTTCCATGAGGTGGACAGAGTGGGTTATTGGGACTTCAAAAGAAAAAAAAGGAAAAGCAAGGAAATTGATCCAAGGTTGCTAGAGTGGTTCATTTGCATGCTCTGGATCCATCCATGTCCCTCAGTGCTTGGCCTCTTTTTTATTTATATGTTTGCCTAGTTGTCCACCTCCGGGGGGGAGGGGGCGGGGAACTAGTTAGATATCATGAACAGGCTCAGAGGTTAGTAGGGAAATGCTCTATAGGCCATACATTTTATCATTCATACCCAACTGCCAGACAGTTGTATATGTACTTTAAGAAGTACTCTTAAAGTCAGCAGTGCTAAACATCATGAGCAGCTATACTTGGTGACAACTTATTGGAGAATTTTTCCATCCTGAACATTGGGGTTACAAGTATGATTAGAAATAAAGCAATTACTTTCCATTAGAAGTCTCTGTTACCAAAATCAGTAGAATATTCTAGAAAAAGGTTTTCTTTTTTGACAGAGAGAAAAACCAACTTTGTATCAGTTTACTGTTAGTAACAAAATCCATTTACCTAGTTAAAGTCAGTCTAATCTTAATCCTGACAACATACACATTTTTTTTTTCAAAATTCCTTTTTCACAAACTTTTTGTCACTTTCTAGATCCAGGCAAATTTGTGCTGTAATTTTTCATATGGACACAAACAACCATAGGAAAAAATTATTATCATCATTTTTCCTCAATAAAAATATCTCCATTCTTTATACATTCTCCTTTTTGACAACATATATCCTACTTGCTTTACATACCAAAATGTTTCACTTATCATTTTTACATATGAGGACTCACCAAGAGTCCTCAACAGCAGTTACAATTTTTAACCCTTGAAAGTTTTAACAAAACCAAGAAACAAGTGATTGAAATGTTACACCAGCATTTTCTGACTGCAAACTTAAGAACATTCTTCATAACTTCAAAAAAACCATACATTTTTTATAGCATAATTTTTCTTCAGTGGTACAACACATATGTTTAATAAACCCAAACATCTTTAGTTACCCTTTTGGTCTTACAAGAATACGAAAGTAGGTAATCATCTTATGGAGTATAGTGAGAATAGCCAAGTTATCCGTCCAGTTTTAAAACCTTTTTTCCTTTGCATAGTTAGCCCAAGGCTGAAGATCCAGGCAAAGTGGACTGTGTTTGTATTTCAAGGACATGATAAATGTCACTCAAACTTTTTCTCAGGCGTACTTTTGTTTTCTCAGGATCTGAAAAAAAAAAATTATCAAGTTAGCTTTCCCTAACTGCATATGCAAAAAAACCCAGTTTTTTGAATTTCAGGGCTTTCATCTTAATCTTCTTCAGATTCTGAAGAATATTGTAGCCATACATTGTCCAAAAAAAAATCATCTTTCTTTTTTAGTCATAAATTCACAACTAAAATTTTTCTTAATGAATTGAACCTGAATTTCCCATCTTGCATAAGGCAACAGGAATACCAATCACCGCAAATGGAATATACACTCACACACCAAACAACAGATCCATCATAAACCTCTCTGAGGGTGACCAGTACAGAGTCCCAAACAAACACTTTACGAAGTCCCAAAACAAACGGTCCTCAATGCTAGTCAGATGTCAGGACCAATTGGCAAGAATGCCCAAATAGCACTTCATGCTCACAAACGGTCCTCAGTGGCAGACAGACATCAGAACCAATTGGCAAAAATGCCCAAATAGCAGTCAGTGCTCACAAACGATCCTCAACATTAGACATATGTCAGAACCAACTGGCAAAATGCCCAAATAGCACCTCATGTCCCAAACAGTTCTCAGCATCAGGCACACATTCAGAACCAACTGTCAAGAATTTCCAAATAGCACTAGTGCTCACAAACAGTCCTCCACAGCAGTCAGAACCAATTGGCACGCACTCACAAACAGGAATGTTGCCTGTGTGCTCACTGGTAGACTTACCCAGTCTTGGAGCTCGTCAGCTCAACCCAAATGCAAGTTTCCATTCCACCAAGAAAAGTGTAAGTTGGCAGCCAGTGCCAGTCAGGGGAGAAACAGGGAGGATCCTGAAAACAAATGATTTCGGTTTTGGTTGTTTTCGGTACAGTTAATCTTCAGTTCCGGGGAGCTCATGTTCCCATTTCTTTGCGTTCATTTCTCAGAATTGTGGCAGCTCAAGTCTTGGGTACAGTCTGGTCGTCATGTAGTTAACTCCTCCACCTGGGGTTTTGGTATCTATGAGACAGCTCACAGGATATGGCTCAGAATATTATGTACAGCCCTTGAGAAAGAACTAAAGGTCCTTATCTATGCTTAATGCCTACCTTATTATTATTTAGTCTCCCTAGACTGTTTTCCTTTGTTTCAGCATTTCTCACTTCTCTGAGGAAACTTATTCTTTGATTAAGGTTTTTTACAGGCACAAGGCAGGCAGAAAACGTGGTGGTGGGCGGGGAGGGACCATATAGTCCTGCACCGTTTCATGATGACGTAGAGGTGTGGGATTGTGAGGTGAGCGGGAGGGAGGTCCAAGAGGGTGGGGGTACATGTATGCACAGAGCTGATTCACTTTGTTGTACAGCAGAAACTAACACGACATTATAAAGCAATTATACTAAAAAAAAAAAAGTAGTGCTGCTCAAAGTGTGGGTTCACAAATTGTAACTAGTCTGAGACAAGACCAGTACAGAAATAGGGAGTATGCTTTTAATAACTTTTATAAGAATTTGACATTCCTGTGACATTTTTACCAAATTATTTCTCCACAGTGGATTGGAAATAGAAAACCAACTGGTCAGTCCTGAATCCCAAAAATTTTGAGAAGCACAGCTCCAGTGCCTAAGGCAGTACTTGGAAGGCAGTCAGTGCTCAGTAATGCTTGCTCAATTATTTCAGGCCCTTCCTGGTGACTCAGACAGTAAAGAATCTACCTGCAAAGCAGGATACTTGGGATTGATCCCTGAGTCAGGAAAATTCCCTGGAGAAGGGAATGGCCACCCACTCCAGTATTCTTGCCTGGAGGAAGGAGTCTGGCACGCTACAGTCCGTGGGATCACAAAGAGTTGGACAAGACTATGCGACTAGGCACACACACTTATTTCAGGGAACAGACTTGCTGAGGGGCCCGGGTTAATGATTTGATTCACATATTTATTAAGTATCTACTCTGGGGTAACATTGTGGGCACTATGGCAGTATACCTAGAAAAAGACAGGATGGTATTTCTTTTCATGGAATTAACAACTAGTTAAAAAGATCTCAGAGGTACAAAGAAACTACATAACAGCACTAGGCAAGAACTAGATGGTTACTAAAACCTCAGAATGAAGAGTAAACATTTAAGTACTAAGGTTAAAGTGGGAACATGGCATGTGGATGAACTTGGCAAGGAAAGTTCACAGAGCTTGTAAGGCTTGAGCAGTGAAGGCTGAGTAGGAGTTGAAGGTAGAAAAAGCATTCCAGGTTGGAGCAGGGTGGGGTGAGGTTGGGTGGGATGGGGTGGGGAAGGCTGAGTACAGGAACAAAGTCTCCCTCATACAGTGGGGTGAGACTGTGGTCCTCCTCAAGATGCCCTTAGGCAGTGTAGAACTCTGGAGATTTTTCAGTATGGAAAAGCCAAGAATTTTTCATAAGGTTATTTCATAAGTTTTGTGAAAAGGAAGGAGGTCAGGAAAGTCTGGAGGCGAGTGGAGCAAGCCAGATGGCAGCTGATGTGGTTTGGGACTGCCTAAGGCAGAAGAAATGCCAGGAGGCATGTAGCTGCATCCCCTTTGAGCCAACAACAGTCTACAAGTCCTGGTGTCAGATGTTCCCTCAAGTGCTGTGAACACTTCGGTTGCTAAGGTCTTGTTAGTTGAGGTGATACAGAGAAGTGGATGAAAAAGGAGTGTTACCTCTGGTTCTAAGCATTTAAGCTCACATGATATGACAACATTGGTATCATTACCTGGTAGACATCTGAGGAATTGACACTGGTTTGGGTGAGAGTGGTAAAGATTGTTCCTTTCTTTAGTTTCCTGTGCTAATCTTCAGATAATTCTAGAATATTGCTTCTTCTGCTTCAGCAGACAGTTGGATATGATGTGGTTTTATTTCCTCTCTTCAGGTGTGACGAAGACACAGTCTCTCTGCATGAAGATCAGACTGATTTCTCCAGTCTCAGGTAGGACCCACCATTGCCTGGTTCTTAATTATGAAGAACAGAAACCTTCTGGTCTGGTGTCTTAACTCTCTTTGATTTCTAGTGATTTGTTCTCATGTCCTATTTCTTCTAATAGATTATCAGCTCTTGAAGGAAGTTTTGTTCACTTTTGGATACCTGCTTAGCACTCAGGACAGTATCTTTTCTATGGAGAATGCTCAGTAAATGCCTATTGAATTAAACATTGATTAGTGCATCTAAATGTTCCCACTAAATGTTCCCATCATAGACTTTAAGGAAGAGGTTCTAGAATTATTCACCAAACATGGCAGTCTTGGTCATCAGGGGGTTCATGGTATGATGGCAAAAATCTTAACATTAACCATTTCTCTTCCAAGTTTGCTGTGTTCAAGCACTTTCACATACATCTCACATATATTTAATCTTAACAGCCAAAAGGAAGCTGTTGTTTCCTTCCTCATCCGAGGTGGAAAAAACGAGACTCAGAGGGATTATAGCTCATCCAGAATAACACAGCTGTGAGGAGGCAGAATTTGGACTCTGGTATATGTGACACAAAAGTCCACTTGTTGGATAAGGAACATTTGTTGAAGGCCTTTGTTTCATACATTTTTGTGCATCAGAAACCAGTGGAGACAGATATGGGATGTAGAAATACAAATCAGTCTCTGCTCCCAGGGGTTCAGTGCAACTGGAGGAGATAGATCAAAATATAGATGACTATGCTACAGTACATTAAGTGCTATTTTACTACAGGGAAACAGAAGACTCACTTAGAAGGACCAAATAGCTCAGTGAGTTTTCTCGGATGGATTCCTAAAGAAAATTACCTGTGGCACATGACTCCTTTTTTTTTTTTTCTTGGTGGAATATAAGGCCAAAAAACTATGGTGCTGCCAAGCAGAGGGAACAAATTACTGGCTAGCCAACAGAGGGCAGAGAGAATTCAAGTTGAAGCAAGCAGTTCAGGATGGCAGGAACCTTGAGAGCTGAGGAGGCCAGGAGTGGTCAGAAATAAAGTTCCAGAGATAAACAAAGACCTGATTACAGAAGGTTTAAGTACCCTGCAAAAGAGTTTGGAATTTATCCTGGAGGCATTGGAAAGACTAAAAATAGCCCGTCAGTTTTTTCTTTGCAAACAGCTACTCAACCTTAGGCCCCATGTAAGAGTAACAGTAGCCCCCATTTATTGGACTGTGGTCTGGAGCCAACTTTCTTTGGTAGGCATTTCACAGAGACTGTATTGCCTGTACTACTGTACTAGAGATGCATGGTGTCTTATGGATGAGGGCGCAGAGGTGAGGTGGTATGGCTCAGGATGCATTTCTAACAAGTGGGAGGATCTTTTGGATTCCTGTTCTTTTTAGAACACCATGTTCATTCTCAGTTATGGCTGATTGCAATAAGAAGTGACATAAATTATATTACCTGTACTCTGGTTTGGGGATTCTGAGGAACCAGTAATAGGTTGGAAATGTATTCATAAAGATGACTTTTGTATTTATGTTTTATATTTGTATAATAAGAGAAAGATGCTTCCCCCTCCCCTCAACCTTCCTTGTTCTTCAAGTCAAGAATGACATTTACATCTTTTGGGTGCCTTGAAAATATGACATAAAAACAAAATTCAGGTTTTATTTTTAGGAAGCAGTCTATGAAAAGAGTCATTTTAGATTTGAAAAGTCACTTTTTTCTTATTCTTGAGTGTTCTAGAATTCTCCTTGAATGAGGAACATTTCAGTTCAGCTCAGTCATGTCCAACTCTCTGTGACCCCATGGACTGCAGCACACCAGGCTTCCTGGTCCATCACCAATCCTGGAGCTTGCTCAAACTCATGTCCATCCAGTTGGTGATGCCACCCAACCATCTCATCCTCTGTCATCCCCCTTCTCCTCCTGCCTTCAATCTTTCCCAGCATCAGGGTCTTTTCCAATGAGTTGGTTCTTTTCATCAGGTGGTCAAACTATTGGAGTTTCAGCTTCAGCACCAGTCCTTCTAATGAATATTCAGGGATGATTTCCCTTAGAATGGACTGGTTGGATCTCCTTACAGTCCGAGGGACTCTCCAGAGTCTTTTCCAACACCACAGTTCAAAAGCATCAGTTCTTCAGTGCTCAGCTTTCTTTACAGTCCAACTCTCACATCCATACATGACTATGGAAAAACCATAGCTTTGACTAGACGGACCTTTGCTGGCAATGTCTCTGCTTTTTAATATGCTGTCTAGGTTGGTAATAGTTTTTCTTCCAGGGAGCAATCTTCTTTTAATTTCAAGGTTGTAGTCACCATCTGCAGTGATTTTGGAGCCACCCAAAATAAAGTCTGCCACTGTTTCCCCATCTATTTGCTGTGAAGTGATGAGACTGGATGCCATGATCTTAGATTTCTGAATGTTGAGTTTTAAGCCAACTTTTTCATTCTCCTCTTTCATTTTCCTCAGGAGGCTCTTTAGTTCCTCTTCACTTTCTGCCATAAGGGTGGTGTCATCTGCATATCTGAGGTTATTGATATTTCTCCTGGTGATCTTGATTCCAGTTTGTGCTTCATCCAGCCCGGCATTTCTCATGATGTACTCTGCATATACATTAAATAAGCAGGGTGACAATATACAGCCTTGATGTGTTCCTTTCCCAATTTGGAACCATTCTTTTTTTCCATATACAATTCTAACTGTTGCTTCTTGACCTGCATACAGATTTCTCAGGAGGCAGGTCAGGTGGTCTGGTATTCCATCTCTTTAAGAAACATTTAGGTTATGGTAAAAGCTGTTCTTCCTTCTTTTGGTGCTCACCCAAGAACATGGAGTGTGTAGATGAGTAGTATTTGTCTGTCGTGTGAGACAGATATTTCAAAGGAACTAGAGACATTTATTTCAAACTCATAGTTTGATACTGGTTTCCAAAGCTATTAGTGACTTAGAATTTTTTTTAATTGTAAATGATATTAAGGGAAAATAGGAACCAGTGTTACTGGCAGGAGTCGCAGAGTTGGACACAACTGAGCGAGTGAACTGAACTGAACTGAACTGAACTAACACGAAGAATTATTTCGCCTGTTGGATTTTCCTTTACCAGATACTAAGTTTGTCCTGAGGCTTAAGTTTAACTCTTTCACATAACTTTATTTCCACATCTTTCCCAACTGCATGCACCCTGGCCATGCTCCAGACCTCCTACCCCCATGTTGTCTTTGCTCTTCTCCCAGGAACTAGCTAGACAGCTCATCCTCCTGGTAGCATTTTAATTAGTTTAATCTTTTATTTGTAAAAAGACATCCTGAGCAGCAGGCATAGAAATCTCTCATTTGCTAGTCTTTTCTCTTGGCTCAACGTATTCTTGAGTCATGAGGAAGCACTTCCATGAAGAAGTGTTTCCTAGCTGACCTTGCCAAAATCTCTTTTTATGGCTGTTTCTGGTCAGTGAGCAGGAGAGGGAAGCACGCACGGGGGAAGTGGCCAGTCCTACAGAATCACATGACCTACACCAAATTGCTGCCAGTGGGTTCAGGGCAATGATATTGATCATATAAAGCAGGAGTCCCCAAAACCTCTGGGCCACAGACTGGCTCCCTGGCCTGTTAGGAACCCAGGCCACACAGCAGGAGGTGAGTGAGCAAGCATGACGCTTCATCTGCTGCTCAGTTCCCTAGTTCCCCATTGCTCACAGTACTGCCTGAGCCATCCCCCACCTTGTCCATGGAAAAATGGTTTTCCACAAAACTGGTCCCTGGTGCCAAAAAGGTTGGGGACTGCTGATGTAAGGGGGATGCTCCATTTGGCTATGGTAGTTGCTGAATTCTAAAATACATCTAGATTTAAGAGGGACAAATGACTTAAGAGTGTTATTACATCACTATGTTTGAGGAAATTGAAATGGCGGGATGATGTTGCATTGAATTTGATTGATGGGTGAACATGAACAGTGCTCTTCCAGTACTGAGTATGTGCAGGTAATGCCAGCCCAATCAGTCTTCTCCAGCCATTCCACACCAACAGAACCAAGACACTGGGGTTTTTGGCTTTGCATTGAAAGTGTTGTTTAAATAGGTGGCTTGGTTGGGTGAAATTTGGCCCTTGTCTTATGTTCTATGGAGGTTGTATGTATCTTATTAAAATAGATTCTAGTTAAACTTTTTTTATAATTTATCTTTAATGAACTCATTAATCAGGCAGCGTCGGGTCTTAGTTGTGGCATGTGGGATCTTAAGCTGTAACACGCAGACTCTCTAGTTGTGGTGTGTGGGCCCCAGCTGCCTGGGCTCAGTAGTTACAGCTCAGAGCTCAGTTGCTCTGCCACATATGGGATCCTGGTTCTCTGATGAGAAATCAAACCTGTGTCCCCTGCTCTGCAAGGTGGACTCTCAACCACTGGACCTCCAGGGAAGCCCCTCTAGTTAAACTTTTAAATGCCTCTGAAAGTTGTAAGGAGATGATTGAAGACTTGCCAGTGAGGAGCAAACATCAACACCTTGAGCCAAGGACTCATGCACGAGAGACTGAGGGCCCACTCCAGGTCTGAGTGAATCAGCCCTTCAGTTTGGCACCTTATTTAGTCACAGAGGTTTAGAGTCTTAATCTATAAAATTGGGATGATCATAGCTAACTGGGATATGTCACATTATTATTGTGAAAGAAAAGTATGACATATGTGAAACCATATTGAAGTGAAAAAAGGAAGGCAAACACGATAGCATGTACAAAGCTACAGCTATGGAAAATGTAGCCTCTAGCAAAGACTGGAAGGGGGTGGGGCATGTTCTAAAAAGTGAAGTTCAGTCCCTCTGAAACAGTCTACATTAAAAAGTTTGCCGAGTACCATGTAAATGAACAGCAGTGGCTATCGCCAGCCTCTTTCCTAGGGCGGGTTATTAGAGTCTTCGGTGCTTTCTAAACCCAAGTCTTTCCTATTCTAGAGATGAAGACAATAAAGAAAATTACCCCGACGCCAGGCCTCCGCTAGAGGAGCCCGCGCCGCCGCCCAGTGAGTCGCAGCATGTAGGGCAGCCCCCGCGGCTGGACGTGCTGCACTCCACCATGGGCAACTTCAAGTCGCGGAAACCCAAGTCCATCTTCAAGGCGGAGAACGGGAGGAGCCACGGAGAGAGTCAGGTAGCAACCTCCATCTCCTCGGGCACGCTGGCCGGGCCGTGTGTGTGTCTGGCGAGAACACGGTTCTGGTGAAGTTCTGAGCGCATTATTCTGTGGGCAGTGATTAGCTTGACTTGTCATTGGGCACCGGCAAACTGGGACGCATGCATGCTCCCCTTCGGTGGGTATTAATGGCGTTGTGTGCTGGGCAGTCCGCTCATTAAGCGCCCTTTCAAACTGCTACTCTTCAATGCTGGGCTTTGACACTGATTGAGAGGAGCCGCTGCAGTCTTTGCTGGGGAGAGTGGAGGAGGATCTCCAGTGATCTTCACTTACCCAGGACGGGAAACGATGGCCCCAAACTTGGAGACTCTTCTCAGCAGATCAAAAGTCCCAGGGTTTTCTAGAGCCATTCCTCCTAGTCTGCAGTTTAGTGGCTTTGGAAAAACACTCAAGCAATGTATCTGCCTGTTTTAATGTGTGTGGAGAATCTGGTTCTTTGAGGTTAGCAAATATTTACATGTATGAATGAAGCATCTGTCCAACTTGATTCAAGTAATTCATTTTATCTACATACACATATTTGTTTATTTAGTTTTTTTTCTAGTTGTAGAGGGAGGTAGCAAAGAATATTATTTTTATAACTCTTAAAACCCCTCAAATAATTTATTCTCTCTTATAAAAAGAGATTAATACAACCCATTTTAATCTTACTGGGAGGTTAATGGTCCCCTTAAGATTGTACTAGTAATGCACCTAACGCAGTTTTGGAGACATAAGTGCTTCATTAATGTGACCTTTGTTTTTTTGTTAACACTAAGCTATTGACATTGAATATGATGTGGGAGGCTCTCAGTGTAACACGTTAATTATATAATAACTTGAAGTCCAGTCCTACCCAGAAAATAGGCACCAGGTGATCTCTGTTAGAACAACTTTGGTGGGGCAGTTTATTTCATCTTGTAATTTTCTTATTGGCCTTGTGATTTTTATCTCTATCTTTTTTTGGCATTGTGACCTCTTATTTACTCAATTTTGCCATGAGATGAAATGCCCTCTGCATTCATGAAACTGTTGTGATTTTCTGAATTTGAGTTGAGTTGTAGGGCAAGGTTAAGTGTGAAATACCATTGGAGTTATGAGGAACTTGAGACTCTGCCTACTGCTGAGCACACCCACCACTTATTTGTTTAGGAGTGTGGTGCTGCGGAGGACACAGGTGCTCAAAGGGCTGCCGGCAGAGTCTGGTTCTGGGTAACCTCCGAGCTTGAATCTCCTACTAAGGATCACCTTCAACACTGTGGGCTTTAAGTAACCAGCCATCTCTCCTTGAATGCCCTCTTCCTTGTCATCCTATAGTCTGGCCTGGTAGAAATTACCCAGTCATCACTTGTAATAAAGTGCTAATGGCACAAGTCATTCCAAGTTTGTTGCTCATGCACAGGAAGATTCTAGGAGAAAGAGAGACTTGTCTAGTCTTCTCTGATAATACAGCATTAGAATCTGGACTGCAGGTAAAATTTCCAATTCATTCCCAAGATCTCTGTGTACACAATGAGATTTTTTCCCCCCTAATGACTAAGAGAATGTCAGTAATATAATTTTAGGTCTCCCATATTTTAGAGGAACTTGAAACAGATTTCATTTTTCCCATTTAGTTTGGAGAGTTACATTTAACATTGGTTGAATACTGATCAAGAACTGAGCATCAATAAATCATATTATTAATAAAGTCAGCTAACACCTATTTAAGCATTTACTGTGTTCCAGGCATGTACCATGTTTACGACAGTCCCATGAAATGGTTATTATTATCTTTTTGTACAAATGGAAAAACAAAAGTTTAGAGGGATTACATAACCTCTTGAGTCAGATTGGAAGAACTTGAGTGGAAACTCTTTTCCATAAAAGCACAATGTTCCTAACAAGAGATACCCAGAACTTCCAAATATGAGTCTAGCAATTTACTTACCCCCTTTTTATATAAAACCTGTTATTTTACTCTGAATTTTTTTCCTTTTGGTGATATATTGTACTCCTAAGCAATAATTAGTTATTGAGAAAGGATTACTTTGGAGAGACTTTTGTAAGTTTGTTTTTCTTCCCTGTCTGAAAGCTTTCTGAGGTTGGTCACATAAGCTAGACAAACATTGTTTGAGTGAGTGTTTTTCTTCCCTGCCTGAAAGCTTTCTGATTTTGGTCACATGAGCTAGACAAACATTGAGTGAATGTTAGGTCCACTAGAACTTAGGCTCCTTGAGGTCAGTGAGTCAGTCTTTCTTGTCTATCCTTGGATCTCTGGCACTCAGTTACTCAGTATTATTCCCTGAATGACACACAGCTGTTTGTACACACACACACACACACACACACACACACACACACACACACACACACACACGTGGGGCTTCCCGCTAATGGTAAAGAACCCACCTGCCAATGCAAGAGACATAAGAGATGGGAGTCAATCCCTGGGTTGGGAAGATCCCTTGGAGGAGGGCACAGTGACCCACTCCAGTATTTTTGCCTGGAGAATCCCATGGACAGAGGAGCCTGGTGGGCTACAGTCCATAGGGCTGCAAAGAGTCAGACATGACTAAATCAATTTAGCATGCACACACACACATACATATATTTCATGTATGTAATTACATAAATAATTTTTTGTAAAATGGTATATATTTTTTTCTATAAAATAGCATTATATCTTTATTCAGTTATAAAAAGTCATGTTTCAAAAGAGGATATAATCATGTCTCTTACACAGATATGAAATAGAGATGTGTCAAAATTTTTATTTAAATCATGAATTAATGAGGAAATCAATGAGATATTTACAACCAGTTTAAGACAGAATGCAAAGTATTGCACATTTATAGTCTGACAAGGATTGCTGAGGTAAATTTATAGATGCACACAGAATTGGCAAAACTTGCAATATCTATAGGGTGATAATCAACTGCTTTTCTGTGATCACAATTTACATTTCTATGGAGAGAAATTATTTGCATTCTACAAGCTAATTTTTGTCTTTGTAACCTTGTAAAACAGCCTAGATATAGGCAAAAAAAAAAAAAAAAAAACAGATTGTCCAGATGGATGAGCTAGACAGAATATCCACTAAATTTCAAACTCTTTTATAATTTTTCCTTATATTCCTCCCTCTCTCCTTCTTCCTTGTGATCATAATAATATCAAAGAAAGATTAACCTTGATCATAAGGTAAGCCTAGTCTCATTAGGTATGGCCTTATTATTTACCAATGTGTAGCAAAAGTGTTAATTTACCACATTTCTAGTTTTTCTAGTTGGTAAAGAATCCACCTGCAATGCAGGAGACCCTGGTTCGATTCCTGGGTTGGGAAGATCCTCTGGAGAAGGGATAGGCTACCCACTCCAGTATTCTGGCCTGGAGAATTTCATGGACTATATAGTCCATGGGGTTGCAAAGAGGAGACCTGGGTTCAATCCCTGGGTTGGAAAGATTCCTGGAGAAGAGAAAGGCTACCCACTCCAGTATTCTGGCCTGGAGAATTCCATGGACTGTATAGTTGATGGGGTTGCAAAGAGTCGGACATGACTGAGCCACTTGCACTTTTGCTTTCACTCTCACTTAGGTTTTCTTACATACTTTGCAAAATCTAGAGACGTAGTTTTTAATAATTACAAAATTCTCTTTGGAGGTTTTCATAAGGAAGCTCAGATTGGACTTTTAATGCCTCTATTATTTGCATTCCTAAGGCAAGGAAATCAAGTTCAACAAATTCTTTCCACCTTATTTCACTTGCAGTACTTACCCATTTGTGTAAGTTCCTCTTTTATTGAAGTCCCTAAAGTAACTAGGTTCCTGGCCTGCCAGGAAGTGATGGTACTTAACCACCTATAAGGCTGGATCTTGTAAACTAGATAGCAGGGTAATTATCCTAAGAGCCCTTTGTAGGTATTGACTTCATAATAAAGCCACATCAGTTCCTACCTGATCCAAGGAGCATCAATCTCAATATGACATTCTAGGCAAGATGTTATTTAGGTAGTAGAGTTCTCCAATTATATTCTGGTAAAAAGGAAGACATTATTATTGAATATATAAAATAACCCTTTGCCATTGAAAGTTAAGGACTTTTGGTATCAGTTTCTGAACTGTGGGAGTCAGTAAGACTCAAATTTCATTTTTAAATATTTCAACTTATATAAAAAATGTTTTTTAAATGTAGGTTTTATTATTATTTGGGTATAAGGAAGCCTATAGAACAGACCATGACTGCCATTTGGAAAGGTTCATATTCATAGTTCTTAAGTAGACAGGCATGCCCTGTCATGCCAGGCCATGTAGGAAAGCACTAAAATTGGTCAGGAGGAAGATGGGGCAAGGGGACAGCATGGGCAGGAGACTTTATTATTGTTTTTATTGGAAAAACAAGGCAAGGCAGAGTAAGCAATCTTTAAATTGGCTGGTTTGAGTAATTTCAGTGGACTCTAAAGTATAGGAATTCTTTCTAGTGGTCTGGTACCGGGCCCTGGGTTACTTAGGGCAGAGGAATATTACATCTTAGAACACATGAAGCAGATAGAAGAGGTAGTTGAGAGTATGAACTCTGGATTGTCAGTTTGAATATGAAAGGTACACTCTGGGGCATGTCACTTGTTATGCTTGCTACACCTAAGAATTGGTAAGTCCTAGGAGAGACAGTCTTTTCCCAGTCACTGTGGCCCCAAATGCCAGAGCAACAAGAATACAGAAAATAATTGAAAGCAGTTCACACAGTTCAGTTCAGTTCAGTCACTCAGTCATATCTGGCTCTTTGCGACCCCATGGACTACAGCATGCCAGGCTTCCTTTCCTGCCACCAACTCCCAGAGTTTGCTCAAACTCATGTCCATTGAGTCGGTGATGCCATCCAACCATCTCTACCTCTGTTTTCCCATTCTCCTGCCTTCAATCTTTCCGAGCATCAGAGTCTTTTCCAGTGAGTCAGTTCTTCCCATCAGGTGGCCAAAGTATTGGAGTTTCAGCTTCAGCAT